GACTTTAAACTGGGAAAAAAAAAAAAAAAAAAAAAAAAAAAGTTTCTAAGGGCTAAACAATAAAAATGTTCCACTGGTCCAGTAGTTCACACTTTTTAACTAGCCCTGCCCTATGGCAAAACTACAAGTGACACTTGTAAATTAATTGTAATAAATATAATATTAATTGTATATTAATAATAATAATAATTATCTTGTGTTGGCTATATGTTCCCTGTATGTGTTCACTCCCCATGTCTAGTCCCTGTGTGCCTTGCCCTTGTTTGTTGCCATTGTTACTCTCATTAGTTGTTATGCCAGTTTATTAGCCATGCCCCCTTGTTATCCTGTTAAGCTGGTCTATGGCTAAGCTTGTTCTCTTGTGCATATATAGTGCTTGTGTTTCACTCGTGGTTTGACAGTCGTTGTATGTATTTGCCTGTTTCCTAGCGTTTCCCTGTTTGTTTATTAAAGTTTTCCTGCACTTAGATCTGCTCCCCTGCCTGCTCTTTCATGCTGTTACAGGAAATAAATAATAAAATTATATTACATTTAATTTATTTATTTAATTTATAGCTGTCATGGAGCAAAGCTTGTATATTTATTTGAGTACACAAACATTTAATTTGCTCCATGACGTCTATAAACAATGCATCTCCCTATTCTCGCATATTAATCAGTAGAATTTTGTTATTTCTGCAAAAAAAAATTAAAAAACATAAAAACTCAAATTTAGGTTTTAATGCACTGTAATACAATAAAATGCTACAATTTGCAAGTCATAAAAAAAAACAGCAATCTATATGCAATATCACATAAATATGGCCAGGGCCTGAAGTATTTAGCCAGATAACACTGTTACAGACTTCCAATGGCCTACTATCCAAAACCACACAGTACCCTGAGAGCAAGTGACTAAAAAAGTACCTGTAGGCCTACTATTTTTAGAAACATGTCACTGAGGTATTGTACCAAAACCAGTGTCTTTACACTGAACTGGTGGCAAAAGTACGTACTGCATGGCAGCAAATAAAGAGCTGAGGCAGTGGAGCTGACAGAACATGGTCAAGGATTATTTCACACTTCTGGTCCCTGTGTACCACTAGGGCGATGCTCAGTAATTTGCAGCTTTACTGGAGCAGATGAGCCGATGGTAATAGGCTGTTGCATGTCCATGCGGACAGAAGTGACTGTGTTTCTATTGTTGGAACATCTAGAGGATGTTAAAACATGTCTCCCAGCAAAAAATGGAAAGATATCACACAATTTGTAGCTGTGATTCCCTGAAAATGTGTTTTCTGGGACAGTGGCCTAAATAACGATTTGTTCCTGAATCCATCCCTCTAGTCTAATAATATGCCTTGTAGATCAAAAGCAACATTCTTTACTTTATTATAAACTGTGAGCTCAAAATAACAATGTTGAGGTCAAAAAATTCTTATTCTAATATAAACTGCACATATTCTATTTCAGCAGACCAAACAACAACAACAAAGCCACTGAGCTTTCTTTGATGCAGTACAATTATGCATCAAGTTGTTGACTTTTCATATATCACCAATATCTTTAACATGCATACAGCTTTGGAAAAGGGCATTTCTCAGATGCAAATCAAATGAGCAAATAATCAACAATACAAAAATAAATATTACTAAAAAGCAGATCAAATAGTATATTCTGTAAACTTTACCTTTTCCTAAAGTGGAAAGAATAATAACTATATATTCACAATTTACATTTATATATTCAAACTCGCAACTATATTTTCGGATTTAATTCTATTTATTCAAACTTTTAACTATATATTCAGATATATATTAATTTATGAAAATATATTCATGATTTGTTTTTATATATTCAGTTTTTTTATCTATATATTCAGACATATATATATTGCAACTTTCATGTATTCATATATTCAGAATTATAAGTACATATTTAGAATTTACATTTATATATTCAGACTTAAAACGATTTACTTCAATATATTAATGATTTACATTTTTATATTACAATTTCAGGGTTCCCACTCCTTCATGAACACCAGATTCAAGGACTTTCAAGGACTTTTTCAAGTCCCGCTCAGGTCTCTAGGCAGCGCGTCAACACGCACGTTTTTTTTTCCGCGCTCCCCCATCTCCACCCCCAATCATTAGTGCCGCTTGTTTGGTCTTTGACAGAACATATAGGACAATTTTTTTAATAGTATCCATATGTCTGAAATTCAAGTACTTTCAAGAAGCGTGGGAACCCTGCAATTTGTATCTATATATTCAGACTTATAACTATATATTCGGATTTACATTTAGTCAGATTTAAAAATATATATTCTGATTTACTTCTATATATTCAGACTTATAACTATATATTCTGATTTACATTTATATATTCAGATTTACTTCAAAATATTCACAATTTTCATTTATATATTCAGATTTTATATAATTATTTCCTGTTTGGCACTTCATTATATATATATATATATATATATATATATATATATACACA